AGTCCAAAGTCCAAAAATGTTTCCTAAAATGTCAAAACCTCAAACTTCACAAGCAGTGACATCACGCTCTCATTATTTTCCATTAATTTTAAGTTAAAAAATGTCAACTTGAATGTGTGTTGTTTAGTAGCGATTCACCAAGATCAGTCACACTCCATGTGGTGTTGTAACCACACGTTAAAGATGGAAAAGTGGTCGGCATCACTGGCGGGGCAAATTTCACTGGCTGACCAGCTGTGGTCGCGCCCTCGGGCGAGAGCAGGGGGCTTTATCCTCGTAGCTGAGAGGTTTGCTGGACGAGGATCTGTGTCGTGGTGCTTTATTTTCAGTTCAACCATTAAATGACTTTCTCTGAAAGCGGTTTTAGAGATATTTGCACCATGTGTGCTTGTAACCACGGTGATGACACTTAGGTCAAGGCTTCAAAATCAGGGCTTCACAAATTAGTATGCATCAGCGCTTTGGCTGTGTCCATCTTTTCTATAGAGTCCAGGTGAGTACGTAGTGTAGAGTTTTTGTTTTAGAATAGAATAGCTCTTTATTGTCACTATACATGTTATTCACAGTGTTTACCGCTTGACAGTAAAACCTGTGCAACTCGAGCAACAGTGAACATTTGGCTAAAACGGGGGATGTGCTCCAACGTTTTCTGCCAGCAGCTGTTCTGAATGAGTTAAGCAGGTTTTCCCGACAGAAGTTCAGAGCTTTGTTTCTCAGAGCACCGAAGGATTTTTAACCTTCTGTGCAAAAACGAGCGCTGTCGTTTCGTAACACTGCTCAAGTCTCCAAAAATGTTGGCACGTTTCCCCTCAGCTGACAAGAGGCCCACTGAGGACGCGAAACTACTGCTGCTGGTTTCTGTACCACTTTTTTTGAAATAATCCCCGAAAAACAGAGTCAGCTTTTAGCACGTTTGTAGGAAAAACAAAAAGAGATGACTTGCAGTTTGTCTTAAAATGAAGGAAACAGAATGTTAAAATCACTTGAAGGGTCATTACTGGACATTTATTTGTGTTTCCTCTCACATGAATCTCAGTTTGTCTGAACTTTACGTGCGTAAAAGCCTCTCTGGCTAAAAAGTCAGCCACCCTCTGACAGCTTTCTTTAAATAAGCACACAGTTTCTGTGTAATTTGAAATTCAGATGTGAAGAGACGGACAGATGTTTAGACAGCTGCCCGTTGCTACCCCTTACATAACCACCACCTATAGATGTCCAGAGCTGAGTCACCAGATCTCAGTCATTAATGTTTGCCCTCGCCTGCTGAGGGATAATTATAATTACAACACTTTACCTCATCTGAGTCACTTTAAAAGGAAAACATTTGTTTTTATAATAGGAATGTCTGTTTGTGATTTTCTGTGCTCTTAGCTCTGAGTGGGTCTTTGCATGTTCTCATTTCAAGTTCCTAAGTGCAAAAGCTAATCCTGAGAAGTATGTGTGGTGTGAGGAGCTGGTTGGTTGGGAATTGCACTTCAGATTGTTTAACCACGAGATAAATAAAAAGGACCTTTTTTCCCCTCCATCAGTGATCTTTGTTTTGGGCGACTGAGCTGTTCCAAGTATCTGCTGGGAACCACCGCCAGCAATCTGCTCTGCTGGAACCTCCTCACCTGCTCTTGTAAGGCTTCCCCCTATGTACAACTGTGTAACTTAATAAACTATTTTTATGCCAAAAGTCTGAACAGATTCTAACATATCCTTAAAACTTAGGCATCAGATATGAGAGGTCTGTTGACTGGTTAAAAAAATCTGTTTTTCCCCTCCATGTCTTCCTCTGTGTCCGATTTGGCAGTGGAGTGGACCACTTCCATGGATGTCAGGCGGCTGCTGGCCGACCCCCTTTCCGAGAACATGGCTGCCTTTTGCTATCAGAGCGGATCCACTGACCGTAAGCTTCAGACCGTCCATGTTAAAACTGCACGAAAGGCATCTGAGAACTCTAACCTGATTGGCTCATAGTGGTGCTGTAACCTTAAGATTGGACCCAACAAAGAAATCCAGTTTAATTTGACTCAAATAAAAAGGCCACTCTGGTTTCTCAGAATCAGAATTACCTTTTAATGCAGAGTTTAGACACGAATGAGGAATTTGTCTTTGAGTCGTTGTTCAAAAAAACAGTCGTATAGATTGTAATATATGGTATGTATAGTGTATGCATTTCCCTCACAACAGACAGACACACACAAAATTAGAATGCATACTAGCTACCTGCAGATGTAAGCATGGAAATCAAGAAATCTCGCAGAAAAGACCAAACTGTGTTTACTCACAGCGGCAAGTCAATATGGAGGACCGAAAGTGCCAAAATAAAAATAAAATTGTAGTAGTACTTAATAATCCCACCAATGGAAAAAAAAATCATATGTTTGGCTTGATTAGTAAATTATTCTGCCACCAAATTCATCAAGAATTGATATTAAAAACTAAATGTTTAAGTATATAAAATGTGACTTAAACATATATTAAACTGAGGGTTTTATTTCATTTTTAATTAATCCCTGATTCATTTTTACTAATTTATTTGGAAGTTCATTAATTTAATTATGTATTTATTCACCAATTAACAATGGGAAACTTAATTAGCAAGTTAATAATTAGCTGTATTTATACAGTCTTAAATAAATGCACAGGCAAAATAAAATTTTAGCCCACATTTAATAAATAAAAAGACTAAATGTGATTTTTATGTTTTGTTTTTTTTTAAATTGATTTAATGACAGGTTAATACATAAACCTAATTGGTAACTCATCCAATAATGTGGAAGATAAAGGTGCTGTCCACACACAATTTCTTTTGTGACTTTTTGAATCGTTTTATATCGCTGTTTCTCTCTTTCCTGCTTTCAGTGTTTGTGTTCAAGCCCAGCGAGCCTCGGCCGCTGTTTTCCCATAAGGCTGTGTGCTCGAGGAAGGTGACTCAGGCCGTCTTCGCTCCCAGGGAGGAGATGCTGGAGAGCTGCGAGGAGAGCAGCCAGTGGCTGAACCGCTCTCAGCTTTACTTCCTCACTCAGCAGATGGTAAACAACATTTCAAGTTCTGCTGAAGAAAAACAGAACGAGAAGTCGACGTAAATGCTGCTTATGTGCCGGGTCGGCCTGTTTTTTATTGGCAGGGAGAGTCCGTTTAAATCATAAACACTGCTTTTTATTACTATAATATAAAATATGCAAGTATATTTAAGGAACTCTGTTGGATTTGAGTCTGAAAGAAAGACTCGTGAGAGTTGTGAGTGCTCTAAAGCGAGCGCTACACCTACAGGATGTTTGGCACCTTGCTTTGTTGCTGATTATAAGGTCAGTCAGGTCACTAAAGGCATGGCGTGTCTTGCAGGAATGTCTTAGCTCAGCTCTTTTAGAGCCCCCCACCCCCCCGAAGACTGAAGAGTCTCTCTTCTAATTTTAGGACAAAAGATGAGACCTTTACATATGTGACATTCCTACACCTCCATCTGACTGAAGGTACAGGAGCGGCTGTAGATGTGAAAAAAATCAGCTTTACAGTCCTCTGACGGTGCTTTAGAGGTGCTTCCAGTATTTCCAAGGGGAAATAATGAATGTGGCAGGCACAGGTGTTTGTTTGAAAGTTAAAGGACAAAAATGGCTCCAGAATGAGTCCCAGCTTTACCGTCCTGAGTTTTGGTGTCTGCTCAAACAGCTGTTTTTTTGTTGTTGTTTTTTTCACTTTCCAAACTGACTGACAATCTGTAATGTATCTGTGTAAAAGCTTCGTCCCTGCAGGACTGAACCTGAACTAGTTTCCACAGCACTGAGAATCACTCTGGACTTAGTGGAGAGATAAGATACTGGCCGTTTATCCCTCCCGGGTTGCAGATGACCTCGTAACTGATAGTTTTTGTAAACATCCTCATCTAAACTCAAAGTGTCTGCAGTGAAGAATTAGTTTATGCAGTCAAGCCAAAGGAAAATTATTTGATAAATAGTTTATGAAACGCTTTCATCGTGATAGAAGTAAGTACTTTATGCTGACTGTGGACTCTTCCCTGCAGGATCTCATGACATTCACCACCAAAGCTGAGGAGGACAGGCTGCTGGCATCCAGCAAACAGGTGAGCTCCTCCCATTGGTTTTGCACCAGACATTTGGACTTTTATTTGACCTCGTAACACATTTTTCACTTTAAAGTAAGGACCTGCCCACACACTTTGATCTGATTGTGTTTATGTTCAGAGATTGTGTAAATTAGGGGTCAGTGCAACCACAATAATAGACTTGCTCTTCAGAACTTCCTGTTCCAAGTGCTCGGTGGTGTTTATAAAACAGCAGTGAGCTGGAAAGGTACTGCAGAGGGTGTGAGAAGGTTTTTACAGTAAATATATTATTTAGGTAAAGTTTACCTGAAATATTTTCTTATAAAACAAGAAACTGAACCAAGGTGCAAAAGTTATTCTTAATTTTCTGTTGGAGAAAAGATCAGAAGAATCGGTGAAAACACAAGGAAGGAAATACTTCATCTTCAGCCTGTGTGCAGCTGGGTTTAAATGCTTGGTTGGGGCACAGAGGAAGATCTTGAGATTCTGAAATGAGCCGTGGAAGTCTGAAATTTAGGAATGGTCGTTTTGCAGTTTCCCACGCACACATTTTACTTTGGTGGGCTGCCCAAGTTTTTCTTGGGCTAACTTTAGCATTTATTATTTAAGTAGACACTAGAAAAGAGAGGTCTGACCTCTGGCTGTTAAAAGTTCAGTTGCTCATCCTGTCTCCTATTTTAACCACCAGCGATGACAGTCCTCCTTTTGCTGTTAGGAGCTCCTGCGAGCTCCTACTGAGGTGGAGGACTCAGTAGGATTAAACAATGCTAAAAGTGTGTGGGGTAGGATCTAAATCTGTGGGAAACGGCTAATAAAGAGGCCCGTGCAGTCTCTCCATTAATCTCCACGGTTTACCAGGGAGTGACCAGATCCCAACATGTGTGGGGTATGTTAGTAAGACGTGAAGCACGTGTTTGGTTTGAATATGACCGTTACAACTCCCTCGCTGAGTAAATATTGTAAGAGGAAGCCAAAGTTCAGTCTTGTGTCTTCTTACTCATGTTTTCTCTTTTCATCCTAATAAGGTTTAAAAGTTGTTGAGGAGGACAGAAGATGAATGTGCTGAGTAGTTCCACATAAAGCGGGACACCTGGCCTCACAAAGCCTAAACATGATGGAGATTAACCCTAATCTGGTCACTGGCCACCTGGTAGAGGTTAAATTACCCAGGATGCTGCATACTGGGAATGTTTAGTGTTTTTGAGCTGTAGAGAGACCAGAGTTGATACCTGAGAGCGAACAGTGAAGTAAAACATATCAAATAAAAGTCAAACTGTGAGCTGGACTGAGGATTTGTTCCATTTGTTTTCTTCGGGAAGGAACCCGGAGGGTGAAATAAGTTCATTGTTTTTATCTGAAGTTACAAAACCCTCCAGCGAAAAAGCCATCTGTTGATCCAGCTCCTTTCCCAGCCTCAGATCTGAGAAATGCTCCTCTGCTCTGTTTCACATTAATAACACATGTTTCTTGTTTTCTCCTCTCAAGCTTGTGATTGACGACAGCGTAGCCATGACGCCTTTCTATCTGCTGTTGGGGAAACACAGACAGCAGCAACAGGAGCATCAGGACTCCGACAGCAGCCTGTGGGCGGAGAGAACGGCGCTGCCGCAGACCTCTGCCTCCATCAAAGAGGTTGGTTGATTGTCCCTCCAGGGATCCCGTCCCCTTTGTGCTGTACGTAACTACAAATGATGGCGTTTTAAGACTTCATTGTTGTTGCTGTTTTTCCCCCCTTTTTTTCCAGCTTCTGCAGACCCCGGCTCACGTGCTGCCCTCCACCTCATACCTGTGCTCCATGTTTGTTCAGTCTCTGCTCATCTCTGTCTCAGACGCCAGGTCAGTAATCCAGCTTTTCCTGAATAATTGTTGAGGCTGCTGCAGTTGTTTGTTTCCTACTGAGCGTATACACAAGGTGTGATCAGACCTAAAAACGTCAGAATCCATAACTTGTTTAAATTTGTCAGATTTTTCACTCAAGATCATCTTTCCAGGTATCTGCAGACAGCTTCTGGTGTGGCTGCTATTTGTAGATCTCTCAGTGAAACAGAAAACACAAAAAATGCATTCAGCAAGCAGGGAAAAGGTTTTAAAAACGATCCACACATCAGTTTAAAATAAATCAACATCAGACTTAAGTGCAACACCCAGACTGGAATACAGACTACAATAGACATGATGTAAAAGTGTAAATATTTATAAGAAAGCTTCATAATGAAAACCTCTGAGAAAAAAATCAACATTTTTTCCTGGAGAAACTTTAAAATGAGATGCCAGGGCTCGGTCTTAAAAGGCGAGAGACTCTGGGCAATATTAGTATTAAGAGAAGATGATAAAAGATTATTCAAATTAAAGTTTTAGATTTTCAGACTCTTTTAAGCCTCGTTTGGTCTGATCATCTCAGTGTGGATTAAGAAAATATAATTGAAACTGAGGCTTCACATGATTCAGCAGCACATGTGAAACCGAGGTCTGTTTATCTCTAAAAATATGCTGAGTCACATTGGTGTTGATAATTTTTTGGGGGGATTTTGGTGTTCTCGTGGCCTCAGGGAGGAAAAGGCACGTGCAGAAGAGGAAATGGAGAGCGAGAAAGAGGAAGAGGACTCTGAGGAGGAAATGGAATCCAGCAGGTCCAAACCGGAGCTGGCAGCGGCGACAGAGTCGGACGCCCCCGCTCTGACGAAGGCTCAGGCGAGAGAACTGAGGAGGGTGAGGAAGCTGGATCACAGCTGGCTCGCAGGCCTCCTGGACTCCTAACCAGAGCCTGTACCAGGTTTCCACCAGCAGCTCGGACGTTTTCTGTTTTATACCATTAAGTCAAAGTGGGCTTCTTCCACTTTGTCTCCCTGACTGGAAACAAATCTCTGTGCAAACACAAAGCACATATTTGATTACACAATCCTCAAGTCATTATTGGACAAGTTTATGACATCCAAACAATGGAACCCCACCCAGCCTTTCCTCCGCTGTTGTACAGCGAGCGCGAGTTTCCACCAGTTTTCTTGCCAAAACTCTGGACTGAATTTTTGGTCTGGATTCTTTTCAATCCTCAATTGTTTTGTCTTATTCTTTGTTTTTTTCTTTTTTTGGAAAATAAATATTTGTACCAAACCAGAGTTCTGCTGCTTCTAGGTTTTTTTTCACTGAAGCATAAAAATATTTCCTCTTATCTGTTCTCTCAGCATGTTTTCATGTATACAAAAAGCTGCAGTATCTGCTGTTTTTGAGAAATGTGACATTTCCACTGTTGATGTTCCAGCTGCAGAGAAGCATCCCCGCCATGCTCAGCGTGGTGGTTTCACAACTTAAGTACTCCATAAGTGACACTATGAATAGGTGTTGAGTGGATCTGATTCTCCTGAACTTATGAAGCGACAAGGCACCAAAAAAGCACAGGATTTTGACCCACGTTTGTGTGCTTCAAAGACCCATAACTATGAAAATATTCACAGTATGAAAGGAAAGTTTTGGCTCCATTAAATATAATGAAGTTGCCGAGAATCCCGACTTTTCTTTAACCATCCAAACGTCGCTGCTGTTTTAGTTTTCGCTCTCCGTTTACGTCCAAAGTTATAGTAGAGCTGTACGCTTTTTGTTTTTTTTACTTCTAGTGTTTTAGAAGTCGTCTTGTTATAACATGGTTTATCGTCTTCATTATCTAACACACTAATCCAGACGGGTCATTTCATCAGGAAGTAGGAATTTATTTATTTTTTTGCTATGTTTTAACTCCATTTTATTTTGGAAAACACTTATCTTTCCGGGGAATCTGGAAATTGTAGCTACAGTAAATAACCTTGGCTACACTGCTCAAGTAAATGATGGATTTGGGTTTTTTTGGTTTGTTTTTTTTAATATAGTTTCCAAGTTTACACGACTTTCAGTATCTTCAGAGTTCAAGCTGTTTTCCATTATCAGTATAATGAAGGGTAAAGGTCATATATGTAACTTTGGTTGTATATGCTTGTGAACCACATTCAGTTCTGCTTTCACAAGTTATTGCGACCCTTTTAGCAATGTAAAGGTTGAATAGCTGACGCATGGGCACTGCTGCTGTTTTCGATCAATGCCCATATTTTTGTGTGACCTCCAACCTTGAAATGTCTGATTACTGCTGCTATAAGGTTTGTTCGCACTCTTGAGTCCTGAAGTCTTGAATAAGCTGATTTCAGGCAGAGCTGCTGGTGTTTTGTTTTGTTTTGTGTTTTTTCCCCAGGATTAGAGATGACGGTGCAGTTTCACATCAGCATCTTTCAGTTCCTTTCCTGATCAGGTGCTCTGACTGCTGAAAAATCATCTGTTGTTTCCTTTCACAGTAACTGATCAAACCGGGTCATTCTCATCTGGTCGTAAGCTTTATCCGTCACCTTTATTGACTCATTATAATTGAGGGATTGTAAAGCTGAGCTGGTATCTGTAAAAACACTTAGGCCGCTGTGACCGTGTCATTATAACTTTGACCTAAACTCCAGTACAAATTCAGTGTAATATTAATACTTTTACAGTATAAACCAAATCCAGAAAATCCCATGAAGGCTGTGTAAAATATAAATGAAATAGAATTTAAAAATAGAATGAAATTATTTGCAAATCTCATAAATCTTCTGGAGTG